ACCACTGCACTCCAGCCTGGGCAAAGAGCAAGACTCCATCTCAAAAAAAAAAAAAAAAAAAATCAGCAGGAGATGCAACTCTGGCCATTGGACACACAGCTGAAACAAATCAATCCTCTTACATATGCAGCTCACTTTTGCAGGCAGAGGTACAAATGACACTAATAAACATGGAAGGTAGTTTCCAGCAAACCTAAGCATTTGAGAATGGAACCCAGCAGGCTGACGCAACGGGGTGTCTGGGAACTTCTTTGGGTGGGTTTGAGGACAAGAGGTCTCTAAGGATGAGATGTGTGAGCAGAGGCCTGCTGAAGCTAATGGCACTATCTGGGGGAAGGGCCAGGTCTAAGCCTTTTAGTAACAGAACAGCACATACAAAAGCCCGAGGCAGCAGTGAGCTTATGGTGTCTGAGGATCAGCAGGGAGTAAGTGGAGTCGGGGGTGAGGGTAAGAGATGGGTCTAAGAGGCAAGAGGGCTTTTAGGCATCAAAGGAGACTTAGAAGTGAAATGGAAAATGTTGGAGACTTTTAAGAGAGTGATGAGTGGCCAGGCACGGTGGCTCACGCCTGTAATCCCAGCACTTTGGGAGGCCTAGGTGGGTGGTTCACCTGAGGTCAGGAGTTCGAGACCAGCCTGGCCAACTTGGTGAAACCCTGTCTCTACTAAAAAATACAAGAAATTTGGCCAGGTGCGGTGACTCATGCCTGTAATCCAAGCACTTTGGAGGCCAAGGTGGGCGGATCACCTGAGGTCGGGAGTTCAAGACCAGCCTGACTAGCACGGTGAAACCCCATCTTAAAAAAAAAAAAAAAAGAAATTAGCCGGGTGGTGAAAGTGGGCTCCTGTAGTTCCAGCTTCTTGGGAGGCTGAGGCAGGAGAATCACTTGAACCCGGGAGGCAGATGTTGCAGTGAGCCGAGATGGCACCATTGCACTCCAGCCTGGGCAACAGGGGTGAAACTCTGTCTCAAAACAAAAACAAAACAAACAAAAAAAGAGAGCGATGAGATCTGATCTGCTATGACAGAATCAATGTGGAGTGGGGTAGGATGGTGGGAGAAGTGAGCCACATGTAAGAAAGCAATGTCCCCAGAGAGGTGGCAATGTCTCGGAAATGGAGCACTTCTCTTATGAACAGGATGATGGCCTCAGCTGACATCCAATATTCCAAATCCTTGGGAAATACCTATCAGTCATGGAGGTATTTGCCAGATCAGCATGGGCCTTTTGTGGTCCCAGTTCCCAAGTGTCTTTAGGAAGAAGGGTAGGAAACTGAAAATATTTCTCAAAGAGAAACTGAGGGTTGCATGGGATCTTCCCTGTGAAGTGCTAGGGTTCCCTTCTACAAAGATGGAGGCACCTTGGTGTCGACCCCAGTTCCCTTTCCTCAGCTCACATCTTGAGCATCCACTCCTGGATCCCAGGTATCTTGGGTCCCTCAGGGTGGCAGGTCACAGGTTTGGAGCCAGAGAATAGCCTGGCAGAGGGGGCACAGTCTATAGCAGGCCCACTCTCCTCAGGCCCTGCTTGCCCCTTTAGAATGACTAGGCAGCAGGCCAATGGACAGAGGGACAGTCAGGCCCAGAAGACAGACACTGCTCCTGCTGGGGATGAGGCATCCTTCTTTGCAGTCATCTAATACCACAGCACTCAGTAACTGCGCCGCCATGACCACCCTCTCCCCTGTGGTTTCCCTGTCACACATCTGGACTTCTTGTAATCACTGATTACAATCTCTTGGTTATGCTTTTTGAACTTTGTTTGCAGAAACAGAGATCTATCTGATGGCTTAACCAGAGCCAGTTTACGTTTTGTCAAATCTCTTCTGCTTTTTGTAATTTGCTCTTGGTGACTTCAGATCTGGGTTTCTCATGCTCTGCTTTTTTTTTTTTTTTTTTTGGTGAAGGAGTCTTACTCTGTCACACTGTAGTGCAGTGGCAATGATCTTGGCTTACTGCAACCTCCGCCTCCTGGGTTCAAGCGATTCTCCTGCCCCAGCTGCCTCCTGAGTAGCTGGAATTACACGCATCTGCCACCATGCCCAGCTAATTTTTGTATTTTTAGTAGAGACAGGGTTTCACCATGCTGGCCAGGCTAGTCTTGAACTCCTGATCTCAAGTGATCCACCTGGCTCAGCCTCCCAAAGTGCTGGGATTATAGGCGTGAGCCACCACGCCAGGCTCATTCTCTGTTTTATATAGGACAAGCTGCTTATTAGGAAGACTTTGGACTCATGGCTCAATTAACCTAACACAAATATGAAGTAGAGGCCGGGCGCAGTGGCTCAAGCCTGTAATCCCAGCACTTTGGGAGGCCGAGGCGGGTGGATCACGAGGTCAAGAGATCGAGACCATCCTGG